AAGACGCGGAGGGGGAGGGGGGGGGCAGCGGCGATCGGCAGGGCAGTGAGGAGGCGTGCGAGCAGCGGCCAGGGCTGCAGTTATCTCAGAGGCCGGCGGAAGGCCGGACCGGACCACCACGCCGCCGGCAGCCGGTCCCTGCTGCAGGCCAGCTGCACCGCGGCCGATCCCATGGTGCACATGGGCAGGTACACGGCCACCCCGGCCGTGGCACCTCGAGAAGGTATCCTGTGACATGTTGATGGGGTGCAACTCAACGAGGGTTGCAAGTTGCGCGTGGTGGGGTCGGGGGGCCTTTTCAGTTTTCTGTTTGTCGAGCTTTGTGAACTTTGGGGAGTAAAACTGCTCTGGGTATCTTTCTGAAAGTATTTGTTTTTGTTTTTTTCTGAGAGTACAGTGCTTGTTCCTTAATATTTGCGCATTTAACTGTGATCTGTGCTGACCGCGTGTCTCTCCTCCGTGTCGTTGCAGTGCTCTCCACGAGGCAGCGTTTCGGCTCGCGCTGGGCGTCGAGCGGCTCGGCGTCGTGGTGCTCGGGCCTGAGCTCGGCGCGGTCCTCGCTCGGCGGCGCCATGGCCCCGGGCACGTCCGCCATGCTGCGCGCGCGGCGGCGCGACGTGAACGTCAAGCCCAACCGGCGCCTCGACCGCTCCTCCACCCGGGGCATGATCTACGAGAACGAGGAGCTGCGCCTCAGGACCATCAACATCAACGCCGAGGTCGAGCGGAGTGAGTATGTGTGCGCCGTTACAATACCTGCTCGGCCGGGTCGTAATGGCCCCAAACACAACACGAGGCCGCCGGCGGCAGCAACAACATCAACAACATTGTGTGCCTGGGGGAAGGAAAAACGACGGCGAAAAAAACAACATTGTTACTTCTTGGAGCGCGAGCGCTGAAAACTACTTGCGCCGCTCGAGGTACACGGCGACGCCGCCGGCCGAGCCGGGCCGGCGATTTCCTCGTCGAAAATATGGCGTCGTTCCGTGCGAGGGAGCGCGGGCCTGGGCGGCGCGGGGACAACCACTAGTACACGAAGGTGCAGTCTACTCGCACACCTAACGGGAACCTGGCACGATTTTTGTCAGCGCGGCGCACGGCGTGGCTTTGCGCAAGTAGAGGACTTGTTAACCCCCCCGCTCACCCCCTCCCCCTTCACTCCAGGGCCAGCGCGCGCCGCGCAGCCCTCACTACCTTCCGGCGTGTTAAGATAAGACCCCGCTGTGTCGCCACATCCCCCTCCCCTTCCCTCCCCCCGGCCAGAAGTGGCTCCTCCGTGCAATGTCGCGAGGGCCGCCGTGGTGGTTGGTGGGGGCGCGCCTCGCCGGGCCCTCCTGAGCCGGGCGCGGCGGCGGCAGGTGGCTGAGTGCAGTCCGCTGTTGTGTGAAAAAGCGTGTCGCGCCGTCGCCCCGGCCTTGTCGCCCCTATTGGCGCCGCTGAGGGGCCTAATTGACTTATTTAGGCGCTGCTAGCTCGTCGCGCCTAGCGCGCTCCGCGGGGGAAGTGAGCGCCAGCACCGCGCCGCCCGGCATGGCTTTTGGAAAAGCTGGAAAAGGGGGGAAAAGAGGAGTGAAGGGGGCGCTCACGGTGTGGCGAGTGTTTGGCGAGTCGTCGTCGTGGCGTCGACAGCCCCCCCTCCCCCCGCTTTCCCCCTTTCCGGTCCTGGAGAAATTTCACTTAGCGCCCCGGTCGGTGCGCAACTCACGCGTACACACGGCACGGCACGGCCCCCCAGCCGGAGCTGAGCCGGAGGCCGGAGGGGCCGAACCCTCGCGCGCACACCGCGCCGACATAATTTCGTCATCAAGGCGTCTCTCTGC